GACACCACTTCTGAATATGAGTCCGTTTGTGATGATTGAGTGCCTGAAGAGCGCGAACGCTATACTCAAGACAATCGGCGGCGAAGAAGTGCATCGCAAACGTGTTCTTCTTCTCACTGATCAAAGCTATCGCTTCCGGTAGTGAATAATCTTTGGTATTTTCGTCTACTTTTAGCGTTATTATGAGTTCGCTCTTCACTTCTGATGTATTTTCAGCCACTTTTTTGCTGTCAAAATAGATTTTACAATTAAATGGATGTTTATTTATAATAAATTGCGACCAAACTTGGCATCAGATGGTGGAGACACTGCAGTTATGTCAGGCAATGGTGGACTCGATGCGGATACTAAGCCATTGGTTTGGATGGCATGGCTTTGATGGTCGTCACTGTGAAGAGGGTCGCCTTTCAATACTTTATTGATGGCAAACGTGTAATCCTTTTCTTGTTTGTCCAGTAATTTGAGAAACTCTTCACATTTGGTCACATTTTGGAGCTCTTTTTGTGATTCAGCCCTCAGTTTAGTCGAGTCCTGAATCCATAAATCTATTATAATTTTTAACTCGTCGTTGTCTTTGATGGCGATGTCTTCGTCGTGATTGAAAGCAGTCATGTGATCACTCATTTGTTTGTCAGTCATTGGTTCGCATCGATGGACAATAGCGTAAAAATTGTCGTTAAGTTTATCATTCATTAAGACGTTAAGAATGGCCACAACTTTTTGATAGCAGTCTTCGGTTTCTTTTTGTAAATTTTGTTTCCATTTAAACTCCAATACTTGTAACGGAATATCAAATTCAGAACTCATTTCTGCTATTTTTGTGGTCATTGTATTCAATAAGAATCTTATGTTTGTTATAACAGAATACTGTTATCAATAGAAAATACATTTAAATTTTACTATTATCTCGTTCTTAATATATTTTTAGGCTTACATTTTAAATAAAAACAACATTTATCATTTATTTATTATTTTGCAAACATATTAATTACTTTCAATTAATTACTGAATTCTGTTTTAAATGCGAACCAAACCTGTATATAATGTACAAAATATGTATAATTCATAATTAATAGTTTATTGACTTTGAAAAGTGTTTATTATCATAAAATGTGCATTTATTTTATAATTTTATAGCAATTAATGTGAATTTTATTAAAGCCAATCATCTGTTAAATCTGAAAGTTGTCCCTAAAATTCAAGACCTTAATAGTTGTGTTATCTGTTTAACGAGATATTATTAAACGTGATAAACATTTCTTTTCATTAACTCTCTATTCTATTGACATATATTTCAACAATAGATTTATTATCAGTTTTTGTCAATTTTAAGTCAAAACACTTAACATTTAGCTATTAATTAATAATTAACTATAAAAATGTTTCAATAGTTGAAACTCAAAAAATTGTTAAAATAATTTGGAAAACATTTCAAATTTTATCACAAAATATAATTTTTACAATTAAATTAAGTAAACGTTTTAATGCGTTAATTATTAATAAAATACATTACATTTTAATTATAAGTGGGTTTAAAGTAAATATTATTTAGTGATTAAATATTTTATTAATTACATAAACATAATTATTTGTGAAGCGTTAGTCAACACCAGAAGTCTATTAACGTAAGTATATATGAGATATAATTGTGATTTCAATCAATCGTTAATTGTTCACTCATTTGACGCAAGTATTGTGTTTTGTGATAATATTAGTAACTCTAAAGTGTGTATTATTTTTACACAATTGCGTTATTAAACACTTATTATGGACACAAATGAGGGCTTTTATTAGCGATTACTTCATTGCTGCAAACTTTAACATTGTTATCAATTTATTCATAAAATACAAGTGATTTGTCGGAAAGACAATAGAAATTGATACGAAAAGTGGACAAAAGTCATCTGATTGTATGCGTTCGCAAACACTTTTATAAACTAAATTAATGTCTATTAAATGTTCAAAACTATAAAAACCATTGCTTTCTTCAAATCTAAACTTTTGAATGTTTTAAAGTTCTAAACATTTTTCAAGAATTTAAGAATAAACTTATTTTAATACTTTTAATACAGTGTAGTAATCATAAAGAAACTTATTTTATTTTTTAGGGAATACATTTGAAACACATTTCAAGCAATGACTGCTTTAATAAGTATGTTTTTATGATAAAATGCGTTGAATTTATATTTTAATTATTTTAAATGTTGTTAGGTATGCAAACGAATTCAAAGGCAACCTATTTGATGGTTGTCCTCATCTGTGTATTCTTAAGCCAATATATGGGATCATTCACTCCTCTATACGATACTGTAATGTCTATAATTGATGTAATATATAGTTTGATGTAAAGTATAACAAATGACTCGTTTTGCAGACTAAACATTTGTGGTCATTACTGATAGAATCGCGGTTTACACAGGCATTGATCGCTTCATTTATTGTCATTATATTCTCAGAATTGGGAGACAAAACATTCTTCATATCAGCCATTATGGCGATGAAGAACTCCAGATCTCCCGTTTTCTTCGGCTCAATGACAGCCAATGTTGTTATGAATGGCATTTCAGGTTTGCTTTGCTTTAAGTCTATTTAATGTCTTTAATTCACCAACAATTTGTGAAATTAATAGTTTTATTGGGAATCGTAACACAAGTCATACCTAAAACTTTCATCAACTATTTATCCATCATTTTGTTTACTTTTTTTGGATTTCGTATGATTTATGAAAGTATGTATTTATGACAAACACTTTTTAACAAATATTCGGATCTGATTATAAAATTTTAATGATTAGGTTATACGACATCCGATACAACACAAGAAGAACTCGAAGAAGCAGAGAATGAACTCAAGAAACTCGATTCCAAAGAAGTAAATTACAAATTATGACAAATTGCTAATTTTCAAACATTTTTATTAATCTTTACATACAATAAGTTATATAAATATATTTTATTTAAAAACTTAATTCTAAATATTTGTTTAGAAGTCTGACTATTCGAGTATTATATGGAAATACCTGCCATTCCTATCGTTGGTATTCATTGAAACGTTTTGTTTGATATTCTTTGCCGAGTGGGGGGACAAGTCTCAGATCAGTACCATTGTGTTGGCCGCTCGCGAGGTATCCATTCAACTAAATTCACTTTTTATTATCATTTATTAAATAACTTATTATGAAACGAAGGATCCAATCGGTGTAATCGTTGGCTCAATATTTGGATACAGTGTTTGCACTGCGATCGCTGTATTGGGCGGAAGTATTTTGGCACAAATTATATCAATTAAAACAGGTATTGCAAACTTACACCTCATGTCAACAATTCATTATAAAATGTTTATTCAATTTGTTTTCAGTCACATTAATTGGCGGAATATCTTTCTTAGCATTTGCCGGATTAGCTCTGGTTTTAGGTCAATAAGTAATTGTATTTATTAAAAGTAGTCATTAATCCGTTTCATAAATACATTTAAAATCATTGACCAAATGTTCATTTTCTATAATTACTTGTTTTACTAAATCATTAGCTGTTATATGTTTAAAATACTTTTTAATTGCAATTAAAACATTGAATATTGAATACAAGTTTTTAGGAAATGAATACAATTTATAAGCAAATAAAATGTTAAAAAGAAATGAAATTTAAATTCCGAGAAAAGGTTTTTAAAAAACAAAAAATTTTGATTATAAATGAATTAAAGGAATCGTGCGGTTGAAGGAAGCGATAGATCGGCAGACAATAGAAGTGCATTTCCATCGAAGAGTCTCTTGAAACTGAACTGATAGGTGAGGAAAGCCATGAGTTTGAAGAGTGGATAAACACCATAACAGCAGTTGCCATAACGGGTCGGGTCTATAATAGAGCGAACCGGCAGTTCAAACGAGTGGCAACCGATTGGGAACCGTTCCTTACTATGGAAGGAACAGTTGAGTGACCGGTCTTTGCAACACGACTGCGGAAGATGTGCTCCCATTGAATGCGAGTTGTCTTTTGACAGCCAGTCTTCAGCACAACCCCAACCACAACATTGCATATCCTCTTGGAATCGATGGATGCCTTTAAGCGCCTGATGTCCGGTCAAGTCATCGCACACTTCACTCCAACAGTCGGTTACGTTTGTCTCGTGTTTGGCGATAGTCTTCTTGAAGACCATTCTTTCGATGGGTTTGAAGTCATCGATTGCTGCCATCGATTGCAACACCATTTGGACGCAAATGAATGTCAGGACAAGAAATGCGTACAAATCGTATCGCGTGAAGACACAGATGTGAAACACTGGTCTCCGTCTGAAGTATAGGACATTACGGGATGTGTTGCACACGTGTTTCGGCGCCGCTCCGGAGGACACACTTTCAGACACCGGCTGTTGAGCTTTGTTTGGAGTCTTAATGAGACGACAAATGGGTCCGTAAATGAAGAGTGAGATAATAAAGGCTGAGTTTCCCATAAGACTAATGAGAATGACATAAGTGTAGTAAAAGGGCTGCAAATTAAGACTCCTTTCTGTCGACTCATTCACTGAAACCCAACCGAAGACACAAAGAAACGATTGAAAGAATCCATTGAACACTTCGGCGAAGAATGTGTTGACATAAAAGTAGAGGAATAATAGACAGGAAACGAATTCCAAGAATAATGAGTTCATTGTATCCGTTGTTTGAAGTGTTGATTGAATTGTGATTTTAAGGCAATTAACTGATAGTTAACTCAATTCTAAACGTTTTAACAGTTTATTAAATATTCGAAAATATTTGTTACAAATCTTAACGTATTTTTTCAAAAGTCAAACGAATATTGTTTTTATTAAAACATTGAATTCAGTTATGAATTAAAATGAATTGCAATTTAAATTAATAACAAATTAAAGGTATAAATAAAATACAAATGAATTACAAATAAAATATAAATGAATTACAAATAAATTACAAATAAAATGAATTAATAGATAACGTAAGCGACGGCCAGAATGAGTGTCCAAACGATGGCCACCGAAGCGATGGCAGAATCGCCGGAATTGAAGTCCAAATAAATGTTGATCTTTTCGGTGCGTTTGTCGGCATGTGTTGGCACCGATCGGTCGCCAACTGATCCCTTCGGTGTAGACTCTGGCCGTTCGGTGGCCTCGCTATCGGCCAACTCGTGAGGGCGTCGACAGCGATCGGCGGCCAAGTCTTGGGTACAATTGAGCGGCCATTTGAAAGCCTTGGACCAGTCGGACAACTCTTGGCTACACATGTGTCCAGACAGGCGTCGATTGCAGTGCAAGACATCACTCAAAGCGCAACAGAAGCGGACGTTGCAGTCGTTGTGGACACAAGTGGTCGTCATATTTCCCAAACGGGAATCAATGGTCACATTGAGTCGCCAGTCGTCCAGAGCGCCGACGAAACAGCCCCTCATATAAGTGCTCACAGATGTCTTCGTACACATCGACGACACCGACGACAACACCACTGACTCAGGAGTAGACTCACCGCTCGTCTCAACCGTTGCCACCGAAGACTCGTTGGCAGTGTTGGCAGTGTTTGCGGCCATCGATGACATCGCGAGACACACGACGGACGCAATGGACACCACTTTCGCCACTAATGAACGCATTTTGCAATCTTCTCAACCGTTGCCACCGAAGACTCGTTGGCAGTGTTGGCAGTGTTTGCGGCCATCGATGACATCGCGAGACACACGACGGACGCAATGGACACCACTTTCGCCACTAATGAACGCATTTTGCAATCAATGAAGGGATGAATGAATCGATCGATGGATTCAAATGACTGTCGGTTTCAATGAATTCCAGACGAGATTTCAGTGAATGAAGTGTTGAGAGAATTGTCGTACAGTTTATAGCATTCGATGCATACAAAGCGCGCGCAAACACAGTCTCCAACACATCGTGTGTTCAGCCAATAGAAACCGTGGATTCAATTGAATTTGCAATCAATTCGATCACCGATTGGTTAATCCATTATTACATATATTTCATTATTTGTTGCGATCATCACTTTTGACCACAACTACAGTAAACCTCCAAATAAGGAGTCATTACTCCATATAAACTCATTTTCACAAAGTTTTTCAATTTTGTTAACTTTATTTAATTGGATGTTAGCTTTGCGTTCATATACTGTATTAGCACTCAATTTAATTATTATTCAGGGATTAATAAATATAAATTTAATTTAAATTTAAAATAAAAATCTTATAAAAAATCGATATAAATAAAAAAGAAATTTCATTAAAAATAATAACGAGAATAATATGTGTGGACCCAAATTGGATCATCCAATTGACTACATCGATGTTTTACTGCAATAGTTTTTTGATGACAAAAAAGCATTTGAACAAAAGTAACATGATCATAATTGTGTGGATGACAATAGGTTTAAAACATGCCAGGTCGATCGTTCTCTTTGTTGCCACTTTTCTCAAAAAACATGAAATCCTGGCAAACAAATCAAAATTAATAAATTGTTAATTGAAGACAATTTGGACTCAATTCTAGTGATAACACCAAATGCGGTATAAATGAAGTGTACATACAATGAGAAAACACGCGCCCAAAAGCACGGCTTTAATGTTGACGTCTAAATCCAAAGGGAAAGATATGCCAAAGTTGTCGGCGTCGGTGAACATCTCTCGTAAATGCGGTATAAATGAAGTGTACATACAATGAGAAAACACGCGCCCAAAAGCACGGCTTTAATGTTGACGTCTAAATCCAAAGGGAAAGATATGCCAAAGTTGTCGGCGTCGGTGAACATCTCTCGGGCCAAACCGGACCACTGTTTGGTGATCTTTCCGACCTGTTGTTTGCCATCAACTGATGTCACCTGAAACTCGACGTCTCCGCAGATACTGAATGTACAAAACGGGCCCTAAATTACAACACATCAAACTTCATGAATTGATTTGGTTTTGTTTGTTTTGTTGCCAATCAATGATTACTTCAATACGAAGAACAGTGTCTCCGTTCGCGTCTTCAATACGATATTTAGGGAATAAAATACTCCACTCCTGAACCACATAACCGATTACATGACCCGGAGGTGACATCACTTCCAGACGCTATCAGTTCATACAATTACATACATTGTGTTATTAATTTACAATTTTATTAGATTTTTGTCATTATCTTATTTACTATTGTCATGTGAATTCCGTAATTATCCTAGACTATTAGAATATTCTGACTTGGTTTTGTAAATTGACTCATTTATAACTTATTATTAAGTTATTAATACTGAATAATAGTTTAATAACATTATTAAAATTAAATGAATATTTGAAGAGAAAGTATATAAGTGTGTGAATACAGACCTGAAGGCAACAGAAACACCAACACGAGGAACATCTCAAAGGTCTGTACAGATGAATGATTTCTCGTTGAGTGTTATCTAATATTTTCATATCAAACGGTCTGTAAGGACCGCAACAGTTACGGGTACAGCAATCAGTGTCTGTCAATCCATTCAATTACATATTATTAGTATTGATTTTAAAATAAAACATATATAAATTGCATGATGTGTGAGTTTTAAGTAAATCATGTATTGTTATGTTATAGAAATTACTAAAAAATAAATGCTTATTTTGCAGATCATTGACATTACATCTCAATAGTAACGCATAAAAGCAAAAAATATATATGGAAAACATGATAACATGTCATATCATTGATACCTTCGACGGCATAATACACTTTTTGTCCCAAACTATTTTTAATCGTGTATTTGTTGTTCGTCTCAAAACCAGTGAATGCTATTAAAAAATATTAAATATTATATAATATTCTATTTATTGTTAAAGAAAATAATGGTTACCTTCAAGTAATTCAACTTTTTGATGGACTAATAACTGGTCGATTGCTGTCAAGTACTCTAAACCGGGCGGACAATTGACTGGTGCCGTCGGAGCGCTTATCCATTCACCTATTTGTTCAATCGGTCGCACATTTGTATTATAGAATATCTTATATAAAAAACATGGTATTCTGTATACCCTGAGCAGGTTGTGGTGGTCCGTAGTGACCGGGATGAGCGACGCCTCCCGGCATTAATGGGACGCCACCCGGTATCCAACCCCCGACTCATATTCGTGGTCCGTGTATACGGACCGATATTAAACGTGTTTATAATCGTTGTAGGTTAATAATTCTTGTACATAATAAACAAACCCTTGCGGTTGATTATGGACTGGATGTGACATTTGATGATTGTTTCGTCTCTTTCCGTGTATTACTTGAACTGAAATACAAATGAAATATATAAAAGTCTACAAAAGAAAAGTAGAATTGTTTCAAAAGCAGTGATTGTTTCGAAAGTCGAGAGTAATAGTGAAATATGTATTAATAATTAGAAGAGAAGCCACACCTGTTAGTTGTGATAATAAACAATTGCTATGATATAAAGTGTGTGCAAAGGTATTACAAAGTTTAAGGCAATATTTTCCGAAACAATTTGTTGGTTGAGATTTGAATTAAACCCAATTCACTACATCGAGGCTCTGGTCTCAAATCCAGGTTTACCTGAAAAAATTCCGGTTGTTTTACTAGTATTATGTCACGTGTGTTCGGAGACGGGGTTTGGAAACGTATATAAATACATATAAGTCATTTTGTAATGAAAGTAACCAACCTTCACTTCATATCGATTTCTTTTATCTGCTATTTATTAATTTTATATGTGAAATGGTTTATTTGTCTTTATTAATACACACAAACTGATAAAATAAACTAATTTTGCTCTTTTTAGTTGTTTATCTACTTTTATGCAATAAAACGTTTTCACATTGAAAGTGAAATATCATATAAAACAGGAATATTATGTATCAAATGTTAGCAAAGACTCGTAAATTGATTGCATAGAAATGTTTTCTACGCGATGTGAATGTCATGTATTATATTGTATTAGATTTGAGTTCAAAAATTATTTAATTTCAATGAATTATCGCTATTTATTAATAAAGTCGTAATCAAACGCTATAATCACATCAAATCCTTTCTCGTCAGTTGAATGTGAATGAAATTTAATATTCAATGCATTTTGAATTGGCATTCATTCAGAAAGTCGGTTATGTTTAAAATAATAATTCATAAAATAGCTGTGAAAGTAAACTATAACTAAAATAGTAGTTATTAACTACAATAAAAACATATTTTATAAATTATAATATATGGCATCCGTCGTACACCCCCTCCAGAATTGTTTGTATTTCTCTCTAAGTTACGAGTGCTTAGTCATAAAGAGCTTAATGTTATTTTATTTACGTTAAGTTACGTTTTCAATAATAAATTCAATAATAAAACGATTTTTAGAGACATATTCGGGAATTAAATAACGAGAAAATTGCGAAAATATTTTATTAGATATAAAATATAATATAATAGTTATTGTTTTCTATTCTGAATTGATATCAGATTAATACTGTTTGATATAAAAGTAGCAACAAATGAAAATTTGTACGTATTTTACTGAAGTTTCTAATAAAATATATGTGTTATAAATATTAAACATCTAGATATCAATTTATAGTTAATTCAATGTCATATAATAGCCGGTAAAACATTTTCAACAATAAAATATGGAAACATAAAATTTAATGGCAATCATCTCGCGATTCAATAAATAATTTCAAATAAAAATTATATCTTTGAACATAAAAAATGTTTAATCATTTTCCCATCAAAATTGAAACAAAGAATCTTAAGAACTGATCCATTGATCAAATAATTTACTAAATGACTAAAAAGAAGGCAAACAAAGAACAAAACCAAAAGTGGACTTTTGATGAATATGTGGGGGATATCGACAATGAATGGCACTTTCCAGAAGCGTTTGTCGGTGTGAGAGGGGATCAGTTGGTCGTAATTACAGACAATGAACCAAATGATAGGGCTTTAAAATTGAGTGAAAGAATTAGCGACTCGTCTTTCATTGGCAGTGATCTTAGTATAGACTTAAGTCATATCAGTTCCGATGTCTTTCTGCCCGATTCCCCTCCAAGAGACACATCCATTAAGCATACAATTAGTCCCGTTCGGAGTCCTTTAAGATCTCACGCACAACATTCACGTGACATACCGTCTATACCGCCGTATAGACCCCGAGGCACTCAATTACAGACTTTTGGACAACAAAATCAATTTGAGACAAGAGTTGACCGCCGAGAAAATAGATCACCACAAAGATTGTTCCAAATATCGGACTATAAAAGTCAATATTCTGTACCATCAATACCACCGCTTAGACCTCGAGAAAATATATCACCGCAAAGAATATTCCAAACAATGGATTATAAAAGTCGATACTCTGTATCTTCTATCCCACCCTTTAGACCACAAACAACTCCACAAATATCACCGCAAATACAATCCTCATTACAAGGCTCACCCTCTTCTGGATCCCTATTCAGAGACACTTCTGTCGGGTTTATTGAAACAAATGCCGATATGAAGTACACGACTATATCGACACCAATTCAAGGATATGATGGGTTTGGTAGAAGACATGAATCCATTGAATTAAGTCCTATTAATAGAATTGAATCGACTTCTACTACTCCAACACAATCTCCGGTCACATCTTCGTTCCTATTTAGTGGACAACAGCAACAATCAACAGATCCAACAAATCCCACTCACAGACCATTTCTCTAAGCATATCAAGAATGACACCCGCATTACCAACATATCTGCAAATATCTGTGTAAATGCAACAAATATTATATCTAAAACTTAAAATCATTTTTGATAGTATTGTAAACTAAACCAAGAAATAAAATGTTAAGATATGTTAAAAAGATGGGAATATGTTAATTAAAATGAGAACATAAATAACCAAAAGTAGAACATATTTAACAATAATATACAGAAATTTAGATAAATTGGTGCATAAATTGGGTGACTTGTGGTTCAAATACCCAATTTATTTAGTGAAAAAACGGTGTAATTGTTGTCCTAAACAAGAAGTGATCATTTCTGTGTTTCCATCGATTAAATGATAGTCACTATCTATTATTAAATCAATTTGAATAGAGTGTCACCAAATCAGAAATCTTGCAATAAGAGTACATTAAGTGTTCAATCCTTCACTCTTGATAATCATGAGAAAATATTGAATAAATTATACCATGTACAATGTACATTATATTTTAGTGTTTTATTACAAATTGAAATTAAATTACAGTATTTCATAATTGGATCATAAAATTAAGACTTTTATTACAAACTTGTGTTTATATTAAGACGTGTTCTTTCATTTAATAATAAGTTAATAGAGATTTAGAATCAAAAATTAAGCTCAAAAAAGACAAAATAAAAGGTTATTTAATTTAAAACATAATAGAAAACAATGATAACAGCAATCAGTCAAACACTAAACACAAACTTTAAAACACTAATTTATAAATCACATTCAATTCAGTCCATAAAAATATAGTTAAGTTAAATCGAGAGATGTTCACCGACGCCGACAACTTTGGCATATCTTTCCCTTTGGATTTAGACGTCAACATTAAAGCCGTGCTTTTGGGCGCGTGTTTTCTCATTGTATGTACACTTCATTTATACCGCATTTCGTGTTTCAATTAGAATTGAGTCCAAATTGTCTTCAATTAACAATTGATTTGTTTGACAGGATTTCATGTTTTTTGAGAAAAGTGGCAACAAAGAGAACGATGGACCTGGCATGTTTTAGACCTATTGTCATCACACAATTATGATCATGTTACTTTTGCTCAAATGCTTTTTTGTCATCAAAAACTATTGCAGTAAAACATGGATGTAGTCAATTGGATCTGAATTGGATCCACACAATCCCAACACATCTTTTTCTCTTTATTATTTTTAATGAAATTTCTTTTTTATTTCTATCGATTTTTTTTATAATATTTGTATTTTAAATTAAATTGAGTGCTAATACAGTATATGAACGCAAAGCTAACATCCAATTAAATAAAGTCAACAAAATTGAAAAACTTTGTGAAAATTAGTTTATATGGAGTAATGACTCCTTATTTGGAGGTTTACTGTAGTTGTGGTCAAAAGTGATGATCGCAACAAATTATGAAATGTATGTAATAATGGATTAACCAATCGGTGATCGAATTGATTGCAAATTCAATTGTATCCACGGTTTCTATTGGCTTAACACACGATGTGTTGGAGACTGTGTTTTGCGCGCGCTTTCCATGCATTCAATGCTATAAACTGTACGACAATTCTCTCAACACTTCATTCGCTGACATCTCGTCTGGAATTCATTGAAACCGACAGTCATTTGAATCCATCGATCGATTCATTCATCCCTTCATTGATTGCAAAAT